GCATCAAGCCCTAGGATTTTTCTTTCCTTTCTTTTTCTTTTTTTTTTGAGGGGCTTCAACCCAAGATCTTTGCACTGAGTTACCTCCTCAGGCCTTTCTATTTTTTACTTTGAAAAAGGGTCTTGTTAAATTGCCCAGGCTGGCCTTGAACTTTCAGTCCTCCTGCCTCAGTCTTTCAAAGTACCTGAACCACAAGGGTGTACCATCATGCCTGGCTACAGGTCGTGGGTGGGTTTGTCTACTTTTAAATAGTTTTGGCAAATTAGCCTTTGCTAGAAAATTATCCATTTCATCTACATTTAAAATGTATTGGCGTAAAGCTTAAAACACTTATTTTGATTATTCATGCTGCACCTGTGGTTATGTCCCTTTTACATAGTTTTTATTTATTTTTTGTACCAGGAATTGAACTCAGGACCTTGTGCTTGCAAGGCAGGCAGCAGCACCACTGAGCTAAATCCCTGGCCCTTACACACTGTTTATTGTACTAATTCCCAGTTGTATTTTGTGATACTAATGCTATTATCTTCCATTTTCTTTGGGTTTACACATTTACTCTTTAAATTTGATACTATGCTCATGTTATCTTCTTATATATCAAGGCTACAGATGTCCTTTTAAACACTGCTTTGATTGTCCCCCTCCAAGTTTTGTTCTAAATATTTTTCATTTCTATAGGATTTGTATCTTGATTTATTTATTTATTTGTTATAAGGGATCAAACTCGGGACCTCGAGCAGTAGAACCACTGAGCTAAATCCCCGGCTCTATCTTGAGTTGTTTAGAAAAAGGTTTAAATTTTAAACATGGAAATGGCTGTGGCCTGTGTTTCTTTTGAGATTTGTCCTGGGGCATAGTAGTTGGATCACTTTTTGTAAATATTCCTCATGTTTGAAATTATTGTGTTGGGTTCAGGGTTCTATAGAGGTCTAATGTTCAGGATTAATTCTATTAAAATCTATATCATTTTGGGGGGGCTACTTAGTCTATAAATTATTGAAAGAGGTGTTAAATCTCTCAGTGTGATGGACTTGGGCAATTTTTTATTGTACTATTATTTTGTTGTACATGTTTTCAACCTTTCTTTTTCTTTTTTTTTTTTTTTTTTGCTGGGGATTGAACTCAGGTCCTTGTGCTTAAGAAGCAGGTGGCAGAACCACTGAGCTAAATCCTCGGACCTCGGCTCTTTTTCTTTTTTCCCCAGTACCGGGGATCAAACTCAGGTCCTTGTACTTGCGAGGCAGGCACCGGAACCACTGAGCCAAATCCCTGGCCTAACCCTTTTTTTAAAGACAGGTTTTCACTATGTAGTCCAGGCTGGTCCTGAACTCACTATATATTTTAGGCTGGCCTCAAACCCTAGCAATCCTCCTGCCTCCTGGGTGCTGGGATTACAGGCATGTACTACGCCTGGCATTTTTCAGCCTCTTTACAAAAAAAAAGAAAGAAACCTGGAACATATAGGTCTAGAATTGTTCTTTTCATAGGTATTCTTTTGTTCTTGTTTTTTATTTATTTATTTATTTTTGAGACAGGATCTCACTATGTAGTTGAGACTGACCTGGAACTCACTGTGTAGCCCAGGCTGGTCTCGAACTCATAGTGATCCTCCTGCCTCAGCTTCCTGAGTGCTGGGATTACAGGCGTGCGCCACCATGCCTGGCCTGTTGCTTTTTTTTAGACAGTTATTCTTTTCATCATTTTGTAGCGATTCTTTCAGTCTCTGATAACAAAACCTATTATGTTGGATTTTTCTACAATTACATTTTTTGTTTACTCTCTGTATACATTTTTCCCATCTTTTTCCTTTTGGTGCCCACAGGTTTTGGAGGCCCTCTTCTTCCCTCATTCCCACCTCCCAGTCAGGGCTGGGGATTAAAACCTGGGCTTCATGCATGCTGGACAAGAGCTCCGTCACTAAGCTTTCATTTCAAGACAGGTTGTTGCTGAATTGCCCAGGCTGCACTCAAATTTGAGACCCTCTTGCCTCAGCCTCCCAAATAGCCAGGATGACAGTCCTGCGCTATCATGTCCGGTTTGGATGTCCTGTTGTAAACACCACTAATCTGTTAATTTGTTTTTCCTTTTTTTGTTGTTTCTTTGAGACAGCATCTCACTATGCGTGCAGCCCAGGCTGGCCTTGAATTCCTGGTGATTCTCCTGCCTCATCCTCTTGAGGGCTGGGATCACAGGTGTGCGCCACCATGCCTGGCAATCTCGGTTTTAACAGATGAAGGTAACACACATTTTCTACTTCTGGTGTTATACTACTTATTTACTACCCTTTTTCTTTTTCTCCTTCTCTGCCTACTATATTTTTAGTACTTCTGCAGTTAGCAGTGGGCAGTTACTTTCCATTTTTTTGACCTCTCTTAAGTCTGAAATACTTCACTAAGCCAGTGACCAGTGGTCACTATCCTGCTCTCACACAATTCAAGCTCCCTAGACCATTTTAACTCTACTGCCCTCTCCAGTCTCACCAGTATTCCATCCCATACATGTTGTTTTGTATTCCACAAATAATCACTATTCATGTCCCATATTGAATCTTTATTTACATGTTCATTACTTTATCTACTCACCATTTTCCATTTAATTTCTTTTGGGTTACTGGTTACTTAAATACATATTTTAAAAACTGTTTAAAAAAAAAACAACCGTTTCAGAGCTGGACATGGCAGCGTACAGCTGTGATCCCAGCACTCTGGAGGCTGAGAAGGGAGGATTGCTGCGAGTTTGAGGGCAGCATGAACTACATCGTGAGATTGAGTCTCCAAAAATGCAAAATAAATAGATAATAATGAAAACTGTTTTAGCAAAGGTCTTTTGTAATGTTTTATCTTTTTTCTTTCCCCACTGCCTCTTAAAATAATTAACAGTTGGGTGGCAGTATTTTTCCGTGGGTTGAAGGTACCATTACATTTTATTCTGGCTTCAGTATTTGCTGCTCAGAAGTCGGTTAATGTAAATTTTTTGATTATGTCATCCTTTCGGGTAGGGTTTTTGAGGCAGGGTCTCACTATGTAGCACAGACTGGCCTTGAACTTGCAGCTAGCCTCCTGCCTCAGTCTCCCAAGTGTTGAGATTACAGGTGTGTGCCACCAAGCCCGGCTCTTTTTTTGGTAGCTTTAAAATCTCTTGTCTCTGGAGTTCTCCAAATGCATTACAAAATGTGTGAATGTTGATTTTATCCTGCCCTGCCCTGGATCTTATGCGAGGATCCTGGTCTTTGATCAGCTTTGAGCGTCCTCTGGGAACTGCCCTCCACTTCCTCTCCTGAACCCTGGCCGATTTCTCAACCGTACTGTTCTGTCGCTTGTACACTGCCCACCACCCAAGGGTCTGCTTAACTGCTTCTGAATTATCCTCCGATTCAGTGATTTTCTCTTCTGCTGTGTCTAACCCACTTTCTTACCTCACCTTCAGCGACCTGGATTTGTCTCTAGAATTTTTTCAGTGTCCGGGGTTCCTTTCTTGCCCAGGCCTGCAGCTGACGCCTGGGCCCCGCGGAACCTAGGCCGACGAAGGGAATCTACAGGCTGTGAGCGAGCCGTCCAAGGACTGTGCTGGGGAGGGAGGCGGCTGCTTGGCCAGCCCGTTCCGCCCAGAGGTTCACCGCCACCCGGATCTGGGGAGGGGAGGGTAGGCAGTGACGTCACGAGACTGTGACAGACCCCCGAAGCCCCACCCCGTCGCGTCCCACGCCGGGAATCCAGACTCTGCGCCATGACGTCACGTGCCCAGGCGGGCGGGTTTTGCGTCGGCCCAATGGGAACGGTGCGCAGGCCTCCCCTTTAAGGAATGTTGTGACCTGACGTCACCCGGGCGAGTTACCTCCCGCCGCCGCCGCCGCCGCCGCCGGCTTCAGCGCTAGCCAGCAGCCCTTGAG